AAATCAAAATACTTAGATATTAAGAACTTTTGGTACCTTCCTCCTCGGCTTTGTATTTGCTTTCTAGCGCGTACCAGATTTCTTTTGCCGATGTAGTGTTGGTGTAGAGATCATAGAGGCGATCGGATAATGCATTTAGGATATGGCCACGACATATCAATTCGTCCTCTTTCCGTTTCTTCCTTTCTATGCGAATTTCTTCAGTATCCTTGTCAGTTGCATGGGGAATGGGCTCCAATTTTGGATCAAGTACATAGAAGATCTTTAAGGCCATTAATAGAAATTTAAGTTTGTCTTGCCATCTTGTGAAATTTGCACCATCGAATCTGTTCAAGCGTACCAGGTCTTGATTCATCATTTTGATAATAGCAAGTGTAGATTCCGTCTCCATTGCAATAATAGTAACAAATAACGTTTGAGATTGTTAAAAAATAATGGCAATGGAGAAGAAAATTATAAAAATATATCAATGTAGGCTTGAATACGAAATTAATCTCGCTGTCCTTAAACGTTATTTGCCTCATTTCCAATGTTTTTTAAGGATTTTCGGCAAATATTTAATAGGATTAAACAAGTCTTGACAAGAAGAACGTCAAAAATCAAAGGTGTTTCTTCACAATGAACAAGTGAAAATGGAAGGATTATGTGATAAATTTTCTCAATATTGGAAGTATATTTGGGGATAAATTTTGATAGAACTCAATGTATCTTTCTTACACTTGGATCACCTATTTATAAGCCTTGGCAAGTTTTTCACGAAATGGTGCAAAACAAGGATGAAAAGCCACCAATTTCAAATAAAAATGATCAAACGGTTAGTTTTGACAACCATGCGACCGCATGGCTATAGCATCAATGGGAGGGCCTCATGCGACCGCATGGGCTTAATCTATGCGATCGCATGGTTAAGCCCCCTTTTTTCCCCTCTAATTTTAAACCATAAATTTCCCACACCGCCTCTACCTGATTAGATCAGTTTATTTTTTTTTAGCACGAAACCAACTTGATGAGAAGCCTAATACATCAATGTTCACGCTCACCATCTATATCTTATCAAACATTACATTATTGTACTAATATTAACTTAAAAACTGATGTGCATGAAAATCAAAGTGAATTAAGAAACTTCTCTCTTTCAAGGAATGTTACCCTTATTTTTCAACACTTTCAAATTTGTTCCATGTGCCCAGATGTATTTAATAAGATGATTTTTGAATATTTTAGGGTGTTGAAAACAACCCAATTTACGTTGCTGAATCGAAATCGCTGTACATCACAAGATTCTTGAATTAAATTAATCTTTTTATGCAACAATTCGTTGTATTATATTTATTATTAACAAAGCAACTCACAATATTATTTGTAACAAATTAAGTTAAAACCCAATGTTTCAAATTTAATTAGTGAAAAAAATAAAAAATAAAAGTGTTGTTCGCAGTGTTCCCCTATAAAACTATACTCATAATTCAACTTCGGTTTCTTCTTGAGGAATAATACCGGACATAGTCAGGGATAATGTCAATAGCACAAAATTGTTCGTTTTTGTTAGAAAATCATACTAAGAGAGTTCATTACTATTATGTCATTGTTTGGTGTAGATTAAAATTTAACAAAAATTTTAAGTTAAAATCAACAATTAGTTTTAATCACATATATCATAGAATCCATAACTTTTTAGTCATATATTTCATCAACTTTTATTAAAATCTGATTTTATTTATTTTTTAATCTACACTCAAATGGATTATATATCATTTTCTTGTATCCAACATAAACAAGTGATTAAAAGTTGCCTTTGCTTATCATGGGAGCAATTAACTTTTTCTTATGCCCATTTGTACACTTGCTTAGAGGTCTGATGCGAAAGTTCAAAAGAAACATTATTTTTTGGGAAAAATTTATATATCAGGTGTAAAATATAGGTCAGTTCGTTTAAATTTTCAAATCTCAAGTGATAACTAAATAATTAATAATATTTTATTAATTAAATATATTAAGGTCGCGATTATACAATTAATGGTCATAATTATATGCTTGTAGGTCAAAACTTATTTATTGATCACGTATTATTAAATTAATTGGTCACAAATTATTTTTTATTACAAATTAAAAATATTATAGTTTACAAATATTTATTGATTACAAATCACAATTTTTATGGGTCACAAATTTTCAAATTAGTTGATTACAAATATATGTCAATCACGAATTATCGAAATTTTAGGTCACAATGAAATAGTTGGTTACAAATAATCCAATAGTTGGTCACGTACACCAAACACTTCACCCCACCCACAATCACAATTTACTATCAATACTTGGCCACAAATCAATCACGTAGATGGTCACAAACACCTAAATAGTTGGTCGCAAATAATCTTCATCCCCCACCATCATCGTTACCACCACAACCAATACCAACACCACAATACTTCCATCAACACAACACCATTGTCATCAACCATAACACCATCATTGCCGTCGTTGACCACTACCGCCCTACCAACATTGCCAACATCACAATTGCCTTGCCACCACCGCCAACATCAAAACAACCACCACCTAACTACAAACACCATCACGATTTGCAAACCACCATCAACTACCCCCAAAACTCTTGATTTTCACCACCAACACTACCACTACCTCATCACCAATACCCAAAACAACCTACAATAGATCGAAGGAAAGAAACTCCATGTCACGACCACTACATGGACAACTGTAGCTCGCAGATTAGTGCATATAGCACCACTGTCGCAACGACGACTGGGAAGAAACCACATCCACGTCGTTGCCATCCCCAAAAATCACATCCACTACGAACAGCGACCTATAGCATGCAGAGTAGTACATGAAGTTGCACGCAATGTCATTACTCACAAATCTCATTGAGGAAAGGGAGAGAGAGGGAATCCACTTTGACTTCGTTCAGAGAGAGTGGGGGGAATAAAATGATTTAGAGTTTGAAAGTGAGTGGTATGAGTGTTTGGCGGGTGTTGAATTTGTAATATAATTATTAATACTAAAATGTTAAATTGTCACCTAATTTTTGATTAAATATACTTTATATCTGATTTTTGAAGTGTGAACTTTAAATACATGCTCTAGTATAATTTTCACTTATTTCTTTTCTTCTTATACTAATATTTTTCTATGTGTCTTATGGGCTATTTTGGAAGTAGGGAATATTTATTCAGCCCTTGTTTAAATAGCAAT